ACAGCTTCACCGACAGGACATCACTTTACCTTTACAGTTCTTTTCTACATACACAAACAAAGGTGTCCCTATCCCTCTGTCTGTCTTCTTCTCAAACTCTCTTCATCTCCAGTCTCTAAAAGTCTGTGTATCTTTCCTGCTTCTTTAACTCCTGGGTCTGTAAACTGATGGTGTTGTGTTGCTAGGAGACTGAGATCAGCTGATCTGTGGATACAACATTTGCCCATTCTGCAGTTCATCCTGGGGCCTGAAACTTGAGCTTCTGATGACCCCATAATCACTGATACACACCCTAAAAAGTGAATATGCATTGTATTTATGTAGCATATTAGTGATTTTATTTTATTTTATTTTATTTATTATCATTTTTTTTCAATTCATGTTTATTTCTATAGCACTTTTACAATGTAGATTATGTCAAAGCAGCTTAACATACTCTAGTTCTAGTAAAGTCCAGTTTTCAGAGTTGAAGTTTAGTTTAGTTCAGTTTAGTGTGGTTATTTCATGGCTGAAACAACCACAAGTCCATCGATGCTACAGAGGTTAACTAGATATTTAACATTCACACGTTTATGTGATCTGTTTTTATTTATGAGCAATAATGGAAGAAAACAATAGAAAAATACAAAAGATTTTTATAATTGAAACTGGAATTTGATGTTTTATTTGCCCATATAGACAGACGAAAGGAAAAAAAGTGAACCAAAACAAATTAAATAGATATTCTGTGCACCACCAGCCAATAGTTTATTATTTAGAAGAAACTGTTGCTTCTGTTTAACCAATAAATTAATCAAATGCTATAGTAAACTTTTAAATTGCTCCCAAATATATTTCAAAATAAATGTTTAATGTTTCTATTCCCAAAAACATTTATGGTTTCAAACATGCACACACATGCACAAGATAGGATTAACATTTTAAGAGTGTTATCCCTACAAATAAATTAAATACAAATTATTCACGAGAAGTAATAAATGTTAATAATTTTTTTCTGACATTAATGAATTTACAAAATACAAATTATTCACGAGAAGTAATAAATGTTAATAATTTTTTCTGACATTAATGGTTTACAAAATAATACTTTATTATTATTATTAATAATAATAATAATAATAATAATAATAATAATAATAACAAATGTATTTGGATTAAATAGTGGTTGATCAGCAGTTGATATTGACTACACTGGCTGACATATAAAATTAACTATTTTTATTTATTGTTTAATTTATATAAAGATTATTTTAAATATGTATAGACAAAATGTAATATATTTTAATTATTCATATTCAACAGCTATAAAATTGTAACCTGTACATTACCTAATTTTTTATCAATTATATAGTTTAGTTTCACATCACTTAATAAACTGTACTGTACTGTTTTTATAAAACTATATAAACTATATAAATATAAATAAATATTTTTATAAATATAATTAAATCTCTCATCCACAATAGTGCGCGCAGTGGTTCTTGATGCCACTCTCAGTGTCACTCTTCTGTTTTGCTTAGCGTCTGTGTTGGATGTTGCTTCTTGCTAATACACCTAATCTAACTAAAGCCCTGTAATCCACTTAAAATGAGGTTATGAGAGCTGTGCTGGATCCACGAGGAGGCTTTTATGACAATGAGCTTCTGTTTTCATGCACTGTCGTGACCTGACAAACAAAACAAAAAAACAAAAAAAAACAAAAACACTGCAAGGTGATTGCAAAACACTTGACAACATAAATGCATTCAGTTATTTAAAAGTCATATCTGCCATCTGCTTTCATATACAATACTCTGTCTGTCAGATGTTTTTCGTGTATAATGCGTTGCTTGTAATTTGCCCCACAGCTGCACAGTGCATTCTTTCAATCTGCTTTGGTTCACAATGAAAACCTCTCATATTGTATTCGAGGTGTGATCATACACACACACACGCACTCACACAGGCCCCAGTGTAAATCCTTATATTTGCTGAGATCAGACTGAGCTGCTGCTTTGCTCAGTAAAAGCGGGGCTCCGGTGAGCTCACCTCCACTCAGACAGCAAACACTGCTTATCTTTTCATATAATAGAAATCATGACCTTAGAGAGCAATCAAACCTGCAAAAAGAGTTATTAAAAGTCTATTTATATTGTTATAGAAGATTTATTTGAAGCCATTGGATGAGAAAGACACCATTTAAGACCTGTGATATTTGCAGGTAATTTACAGTGTCAGTCAAAGGTCTGTCTGTCTGTCTGTATCTATCTACAGTATCTATCTATCTATCTATCTATCTATCTATCTATCTATCTATCTATCTATCTATCTATCTATCTATCTATCTATCTATCTATCTATCTATCTATCTATCTATCTATCTATCTATCTATCTATCTATCTATCTATCTATCTATCTATCTATCTATCTATCTATCTATCTATCTATCTATCTATCTATCTATCTATCTATCTATCTAAAGGTGTTATTTATCTATGTATGCATGTACATAGAGTATCCATCCATCCATCCATTGATCCATCGTGCCAGACACTTTATAATTGTTTTTGTATTTATTATTGTAGAAACTCATTCATTCATTTTCCTTCGTCTTAGTTCCTTCATTTATCAGGGGTCGTCACAGCAGAATGATCCGCCAGTAGAAACTCATATGTGGCTTTTTCAAGTATATATTTTCAAATATAGTATTATGCATAAATAAATAACCTAATACTGTATATTCACTTCACTCTGACAAATCCAAATTGCACAAATTCCACACAAATTTGAGATTTCTCAAATTAATTATTATTATTATTTTTTTTGCTGAAATCTAATTGTTCAATGGAAGAATGTAATTCATTCTGCAATGTCTTTCATCATCATTATTATCATTATTATTAGCCTATTAATATTTTTGAAATATGTATTCTTTTTAGTTTAGCATTTTACTTTAACAACCAAACAACACAACAACAATAATACAACAAAATATATTAAATGAAAAAAGAAAAAAGAAAAAATATAGTAATAAAAGGAAAAGAAAACAAATAAACAAAGGAAAAAAAAACTACAGTATAATACAGAAATACAAAGAGGCACTCAATAGGGGGCAGTGAACATACTAAGCACTACACTGCTGGTTAGGATCAGCATTATATTGGTCCAGATGGTCAAGAAATGGTTGCCATATATTGTAAAACTTATCAAGCAATAACTTTGTATCGGACTCTTTTCAATATTTGAGAGAGATAAGTCAACCATGTCTTAAATTGAGGCATAGAATCTGATTTCCACAGCTTTAGAATGATACTCTTAGCAATGATCCTTCCATGTACGGTTGAAATACGGCAGAATTATTAGCCTCCTTTGACTTTTTTTTTTTTTATTTCCTAAATGATGTTAAACAGATTCTGGAAATTTTCATAGTATGTCTGATAATATTTTTTCTTCTGGAGAAAGTCTTATTTGTTTTATTTCGGCTAGAATAAAAACCATTTTTAATTTTTTAAAAACAATTTTAAGGTCAAAATGAATAGCCCTTTTAAGCGTTATTATTTTTTGATAGTCTACAGAACAAACCGACATTATACAATAACTTGCCTAATTACCCTATTCTGCCTAGTTAACCTAATTAAACTAGTTGAGTCTTTAAACGTCACTTTAATCTGTTTAGATGTGTCTAGATAAATATCTACTCAAATATTATTTACTATCATCATGGCAAAGATAAAATATATCTGTTATTAGTAATGAGTTATTAAAACTATTATGATTAGAAATGTGTTGAAAAAAATCTGCTCTCCATTAAACAGAAATTGAGGAAAAAAAATAAACAGTGGGGCTAATAATTCAGGGGGGGCTAATAATTTTGACTTCAACTGTACTGTATTATGATTTTGATATGGACATGTTATAAAACAGCAGAAAAAGAAGAATACCAAAATAGTGCTATTTCTGTGTCAGGTGTAAAGGCACAACAAGACAAATCAGAAACCATTTAAAGATGTCACACCAGAAATTGCAATATTTTGGACATGTCTGAAAGAAGTGGGTCAGAGGGCCTTCAGCAGACTTCACATGATGGAGAAATGGTTGGAAAAATTCAGTGTAATTTGAGATTTTGAGTAATGCAGTCTATGCATTTTAAATGTAATTAATTAAAGTCTATATCCAATCCGGCTGAGGCTTTCCTCCCATGTGTCACCCTCGATCTTTATGCCCAGTTCCTATTATCAAGAATTTTTCTAAAAAGCTGCAGTTACTCAGCTCTTGAAAAATAAAAGTACAAAATCTGAAACCAAATGTTTGGAATCAAGTGAGCCTATTATAATAGCTTATAGACGCTTTTTTCCTCTGGCAAAGATTAAAAATTGGCTATTGCATGATGTACATCATTTCTAATTTGTAAATGGCGAAAGATGTGTGTTGCAGGAAGGGAAAACTTTTAGTTAATAAAATAGTTATTAATATTATTATTATTAAATTATGATTATTACTGTTAGGTTATTATTATAAGACTTTCAATAATAATAATAATAATAATAATAATAATAATAATAATAATAATAATATAATTGTATTGTTTCATTTTCATAAGAGAAGAATTTTTTAACTGCCTTTTATAATTGTTTTAATGTTTAATTTAGTAGAAACTCACTGTTAAAACTTATTTACAGTATTTGCAAAATATATTTATCTACAGAATTCATAAACAGTAAACACCTACTATTCACTCTCTGACAAATACAAAAAATCTATCTATCTATCTATCTATCTATCTATCTATCTATCTATCTATCTATCTATCTATCTATCTATCTATCTATCTATCTATCTATCTATCTATCTATCTATCTATCTATCTGTCTATCTATCTATCTATCTATCTATCTATCTATCTATCTATCTATCTATCTACTTTCCTGTCACTCAGTCGTTGATGGCTCGCAGCGCGTCTCGGTCTCCTTGTATGGAGCGACACGCGTGATGCTGATCGCGCACAGATGGGTGGGGGGCGTGTGGAAACCGATCCGCCACAGCGCACAGTCTAAAAACTGACTCTTTACCGTACAGTCAAACCGGAGAGAGACGCACGGAAACGCCCCACACCGGACTCCCCCGACACCCTCCAAACTAATTCAACAGGGCAAAGGCAGAAGTAGCTGGAGGGACCGAACGCATCCGTGATTTGTTTGTGGAAGTAGCGGCGCTCATGGCGGCAGCTTGACTGTTCTCGGAGGGTCACTTGAGTGGATTTTAGTGGGGAAAAACTCGCGTGTTGGATGTCAGTCAGAAGAATGATGGATGCGCTCAGATTGTCGACCGCTCTTCTTCTACTTCTGTCTTTATGCAGCTTTGGAAGCGCTATACAGTTTCCCGACTCATTTCTGTAAGTAGACGGAACAAAACTTGTTATTGCTATGATTACTAGTTGTTACTCTCAAAGAGTTGGCCGTAAAAGCGTAATACTTTAAGTTTTTGTTGTATACTAATAGAGTCAGGCTGGTGATACTCCAACCACAAGTTGCGTTTCGCGTTCATTCTGCTCAGCTTTTTATAGTTTGTAGTCACACATGCGTGAGACGCACGTCCGTTGAGTTTGGTTTTTACGATGCCATGAGAAATTAAAGGGACAGTTCACCCAAAAATGAAAATATGTGGATAATGTACTCACTCGCAGACCATGTAAGATGTATGTGACTTCCTTTTTCTTCAGTTGGAAGGAGATTTTACCTGAAACTGCCGTCGTTATTTATTTATACACTGTGGGGGAAAAACATAGCCTAGAGGCATAACAAAATTAATAGGCCAAACTGTGACACCTGACAATACATTTAAGTCTTGAATGAAGAAAAATTACCAGTGTGTGGAGGTAACTGACATTATTTACCACATTACATCGACAAATGGTCCCCGGTGTGTTTTACGACAGTCTGGATTTCCTGATAGTATACTTGCATAGTGGAGAAGTCCATTTGATGTGTGCATTTAAAACGGAGAGACGTAATATTTAAAGTAAGTTATTTGCTAGACGTCTTCTGTCTGATGTCAAATAGACATTTGTAATATGTCTTTTAGGTCTAGTTTAGAATGTTTGCAAAAATCATGTTTAATCAACTCTTTATTAACACATTATTTAAGACATTTTATTCAAAAACATTATGTACGTGTGCATAGCTTACTTATGCTTATACTGGTTGCTGGAACCTATATACTGTAAAAGTCGTATGTAATCATTATATGCTCACATTCTCTGGAGGCTATGGATTGAAAGTAACAATGTTCATGTTCACTTTTATTTCATTTTCATTTATAAAATAATGTTTATTTTCATGCACAGAATTTTAAACATCTCATTGTATCATCAGGAGCTCAGGTATTAATTTTATTTCGCCCATATATGTATTTTTTTACTTTCTAAGTGGCTGTAGCTGTTGACTGGCATTTTATGGATCACTTAGGATTACATTTTTAATTAAAAACCTTGTTTAATGTTCTACTGAAGAAAAAAAAAGATCTTGGATGACCTTATGGCGAGTAAATTAACAGCACCTTTTTATTTTGGCTGAAAGATCCCTTTAATGAGATATTTAATCCAAAAATAAATAATGTTGCTCCATGTTTTTTGTGTTCTTCTGGACGAAAAAAGAAATTTAAGCCCCACAGAAGGGCTTTCTTTTTTACTATGCAGTATTTACTAAGTTTCAAAATGTCAAGTCTTAAAATAGAACATGAAATCACCACAGAAATATCCCAAAAGTGATTTATATCACTCATATCGTTATCAAAAGGCACCTATTTAACTCAAAATCTTGACTCTACTTGACTCAAATCTTCAAGATTTGTTGTCTTTTGTGTCTCCAGAATGTGTCTGTAAAGTTTCAGTTCCAAACACCCATCAGATTATTCATTATAGCTTTCAGTATATTGTAATTTTCTGCTCTGAACACAATTTGTAGCTGTTTTTGTTGCCCGTGCCTTTAATGCTAGATCTCCCTGCCCACCGTTGCCACATGCCTGTCACAGTGTGCCTCAGGCCCCGTTTACACTAATGCGTTTTAGTTTGAAAACGCATAAGTTTTGCTATGGTTACGGCATCCGTCCACACTACAAAATGCAGCGTTTTGGAAACACTGTAGAGCCTGTTTCCACTCTAAAACGCTGCTGCTCCGTCTCAGTGTGGATGAAGGAAAACAGAGACATCTGAAAATGGAGGCGGGGCTGCCGAGATTTGCTAGCTGATTGGGGCTTTTGTGTCATTGTGAATCTTTCCCTTATTCGTCAAGCCCCTATCACATGACTGTAACACATGGCTTTAACGCTATATCGGAAGACAACAGACCAGCCTTCACTGTAAACAACAACATGGACACAGAAATGCGTTGTTTGCACTATTGTCTGTTTTAGGCGCCATTGTGCAGTTAAACTCTGCCTTTTTTACCACAGCAGCGGCATATATTCGCTAGAATGCACATGCCCAGAGTGCGCGAATGGTCACGTGATATACGTTTTTGGTGGCGTAGTGTGGACGGAGATATGTTCAGAAACGCTAGGTGAAACGCGAGTGTGGACGCGGATCGTTTTTGATCTAAAACGCTGTTTTCAAACTAAAACGCACTAGTGTAAACGGGGCCTCAGTCTCCTGCTGCATCAGATAAACAGCACAGTGACAGACACGAAGGAAGCAGATCTCACGTTACATTTGTGAGGAATACTACAGTAAGAACTTTCCCATTGATTATTTATTTAATGTATTTGTTGTGGAGTAAATTCAAGCCTTTCTGCAACAATGAGTCACACACAATGTTGTTACAAAGTTTGCGCACATACACAGACACACAAACACAGCACGCAAATGCTTAACTTTGATTAAAGTTTCAAGTTTTTACACGGCAAATGTGACAGGATATACATTAATATCCACTGCTGTATTGATAACCGTAATGTTGATGTACAAAATAAACCTGATTAAGCGTCCACAGACCAGGATTAAAGGGTCGTCTTTCATAATTGTAGTGACATGCAGCTGTAGTGATAAAGACGGTAAAATTGCTATAATTCATTACAAACATCCACTGTTTTAAAAACGTTTTAAACTTGTAAAAGTCATTCTTGATCACATTTGATGATAATTGATGATCACAGTGAGCTGAACAGATTTACTCTTAGTTGCTTTGCGCACATCCAATCTTGTTGTCGTGTTATTACGGAGACATGTTAATACTCAGCTGTCAATTTGGTGGGCGGGGAAACCGTACTCCTACGTCACGTTGTGGTGAGCCACAAAATGGGAAGTATTTGCATCCTATTTTAACGTGAGCAAATAAAAAAAAAGAGACTTATTGTCTTTATATGACTCCTGTGGACACACTATACACACAGTTCAGTCCAAACAGCTTTCAAAAGAGGAGTTTCATCATAGGTGCCCTTTAAAACTCTCTTGGTAAGTCAATTAGATACAGAATATATGTGATGAACAGATTAAATATAACTTGATACTCATTAAAAATCTTTCTATTTCTATTATTTTATTTTCTGTGACGTACAATTCCTGAGTGAATTTTTACTTTTAATTTTATCCTCTTGATCTAATTCACAAAAAAATATCTTATTGGTTTCAGTTCAACTCTCTGCCTTGTCTAGTGGGGAACTTGCTCTTTAAAAGTAGCTAAATGTTTTAAAATGTGTTGTATCCGAACGCTAAAATGTTAAAACATGGGTCTCAAACTCAATTCCTGGAGGTCCGCAGCTCAGCGCAGTTTTGCTCCAACTCTGACCAAACACAGCTGATTCAACTGATCTAGGTAATCCAACTAAACAAGGTGTTCTAAACTACTAGACACTTGACCACCTTGATTGGTTGAATCAGCTGTGTTTGATTAGGGTTGGAGCAAAACTGTGCAGAGCTGTGGCCCTCCAGGAACTGAGTTTGAGACCCATGCGCTAAAACTTTATATAATTTACTTATCTGTGTGGCATTTTATATTGGAATGGTTTTGTTTATGTTATATTTGTTTATAGTTTTTTGTCCTTTCGTTGTGTCGTATTGGTAACCAGAACTGTTTGGTTGTCAGGAACATTCTTCAAACTATCTCCTTACAGCAGCAGAAGCCAAGTCATTTAAATGAAAAACCATAAACTTTGAGTGTAATCCTTTAACAAATAGATTTACAGCTTGTTTTGCGGTTTCCTAACACCATCAAGGCTGCTGGTGCCAGAGAAGTGGCCATCAAAACCTGATGTGCCACCTGTGTCCTGGGTTATTTTTACTTAAGCGGAGCCTGTCACCTGTCCACATTATTTCAAACTCCAGCATGTGCCTTTTTACCGTATAATCACTAGAAGGTTATGTAATGAAGCCTTCAAATGCTGACAGTAGCAACCTGCACATGTCCGCTGTCTTGCTAGTGCATTGGGCTGCTCAAATATCAAGCTTTCTATCTTGTAAATAGTGTCAAGTTCTGGCCATGAGCTGCAATTTTTGGGTTTGGTGTGTTTTTCTAAATCAAATTGATATGAACCCCCTCCATGACAGATTGGACACAAGAGCAGCTCAAGGCGTAGAAGCAATCATCTGTCAAATGCGACCAATCACACTCTACTCTTTCCTTGAGATTTTTTTTGGGTTTATACAGAATTTGGTAATATGTAAATCACGGGCTCAATACCCTCAGGCTTGTGTCGGTTCTTTATTTATGAGAATGTACCTATATTTAGTTCACACTTGATAGTAGTAGACCTGTCACACTTATTTTTTTCAAATAATTTTTTGTTTGTTGTTGTTGTGTAATTAAAGTGTCACAGAAACGATTGAGAAGTATTATTATTTTGATTAAATGATTAGTTCTGTTAAATGAATAATTGTGTACAAAATAAAAGTTTTTATTTAAATAATACATGCCAGTATTGTGTATATATATTAAATTTATATAAATATACATGCATACATATGTTTATAATATTAAAATATGTATGATATATAATAATAATATTTATATGTTATTTTTAGGATATCTATACATAAAAACAACCATTTTCTATGTGTGTGCATATGTCTATATAATAAATATTCACAGTACACATAAATATTGTCAAAGCAAACTTTTACTTTGCATGCAATTAGTTGAGATTAATCGTTAAACAACACTAATAATGATTATACAACAGCATAATAATGCAAACAGGCATAAACACAATTAAGGGACAAAGAATTTTAATTCTTAAGATTATTTCGATTCTGTAATTTGTGAAAAAAAAGTAAAAGTCCTAAAATAAACTTTGACATCAGTGATATAAAGAATGTAAATGTCCTTGTATAATGGCTTAATCATTATTTGTAAATGTCACTATATTAGAAGTGAACTGCAGCTTAGAAACAGCGCTCATTTG